CTAAGGAGTCTTTCTGCTGTGCCTTTTGCAGCCGGACGTGTCTGTCTTGTATTGGCCTTTTTAGCCACCAGCGTGTTTATAACAAACGTGGGTAGAGACCTTTCCTGAATCTTCATTTGCGAAGCCCAGCCATGATGATGATGACTGCACTCCGTGGTGGTGGCAGTTTACACCCATCGGGAGGAAGGGCATTTCCAGGCAGAGCCAGATGGGAGGAATCGCCCTCTGTCCCCTTCTCCCTCCCCGTCTGAGGCGGCCCCTCACAGACCCGACAGCGCCCCCTGCCGGCCGGCCGAGCGCAACTGCCGCTCCCGCGCCTCCAGAGACCCGACAGCGCCCCCTGCCGGCCGCGAGCCGGGCACCGCAGCCCCGCCCCCGGCACCGCAGCCCCGCCCCCTGGTGCGACAGCGCCCCCTGCCGACCGTGGTTATCACCGCGCCGAGGGGCGAAAAATGACTTTAATTGTTTTATCGGTGCCATAAAACAATTGGGTGCGGGATCGCTGCTCGTTTTCTTTCGTTGTGTTACCTGTACCTATCTGTTCTCTAGTAAAGAGCTGTTATTTTTTCTTTCCCGCGCCTTTTCGCCTGGAGCGTCTTAATTTCAAAGTCATGGTTACTTGGGAGTAATTATTGATTACTTAGGAGTAATTATTGATTACTTAGGAGTAATTATTAATTACTTGGTTTTTCTCATATCCCGCCCTCCTTAGCAAACGCTTCTGCCTCGTTAAGCTGAGACAGTCAGGATGTTGCTGCTAACTAGAGTTGCCTCCTGCATAAGAAGAGCTGCTGCTTTGACGTATTTAGTCTCAGCAGTCACAATTTCAATATCCCCATTTTTTAAAATTTAATTTCTGTCTCTGGTTTCCCAATAAATCTCGTCCTGGAATAGGTTTAGGGGAGTTTGGCAAATAGAGAAAGGTGCCTGCACAGAAAGCTCCTGCTGTCCCTGTTGTGCCAAGAGTGATGCACCAACTGCACTTGAGAGATTCGAGGTAAGGTGTGGCATTGAAGGCACAGCAATACCCAGGCCGTGAGTATGAGCCTGTGCCCTGTCACTCCCTTCTGTCAAGCCGTGGGGAACCACCCCCAAAGGAGCAGCACATTTGAAAGTGTAGAAAGAAAAATGTAATCATTTACCAAAAAAAAAAAAGAAAGAAAAAAAAAGAAAAAGAAAGGAGATAAAAATCAGAAAGACTGTAGCAAATCCACCTCTTGTGTAGCTAATCCACCTCCTGAGGGATGCTTCAGTGGACAGGAGAATTCCAGTGATGGAATATGGCTGGCTGCTGCTCCTGGTTTTGTCATATAGTGCAGGACAACATCCTTGACCCTCCTGCTGCTCCCCAGGGTCAGGGTGTGCTGCTGCAGAACTCGCCCCAGGGGCAGTTGCTGAGCTCAAAAACTGCAGCTGTCAGCAGAGAACAAGTAGAGAAACCCCTCTTTGTCCAAATGCCCTTGGAATGCAGAGGGAGAGAAGGGACCTGGGGCAAACACCTCAGCAGAGGGGCCCTGGCAGAACAGGCATCTCCCCTCCTTTTCAGTGCCTTTCTTCCATGCTGCTGTTTTCCAATATTCCCAGCACGTTGCTGTCTCAGTTTGTATATAAATGTTTCTGCATGTGTTCAGGATGGCTCTTCCCATAAGGAATGCTGCCTCTTCCGTGGAACAGAGATGATGATCTACCAGCCAAGCAGATTCACTCACTCAGAACCACTTTCTGCTCCCCCATTTTCTCACAGGAGACCATAAATCTATAATTTCTGTGGATTTTTGCCTTTTGCAGGAAACTGAACTGAGAGAAAACCAGAATCAGCCAGAGCAGCTGCTGTGCTTTTCCTAGTTCTGCCATGAAATGAGATTTAAGAGGCTGGTGTCTATCCTTGGCTGTACCCTCTGTATCCCTCTGGCACACAGAGGAATAATTAATGAAAAATTAGTAATCTGTGTTTATGGGCTCCTTTTGCAGA